CTGAACAACTTTTGCCTTAGGGTGACATCGAAATGCTTCACCAAATTTAGAATAAAAAAGAAAATTAAAAAATATTTATTTTAGTTTTATTATTATTTTTTTTTTTGGCACGGCGGGGCAAGTGACCCCGGGCCACTCTGGTAGCCTAAATTATTTCCAATTAATTCCCATTGTATTCCTTTATTGTTTTTGCAAATACCTTTATTTATTTTTGAATAAATCAATTAATGCTGTAAATACCCTCCCCACCCCCACCCCCTGCCACTCCCAAATCTCCACATGCCACCACGCCAATCCAAGACCTCCCAACGCGCAGCCGCCGCCGCCGCCGCCGCTGCCGCCGTGCCTGCCTCCACCTCATCCGCAGCCGTCGCCTCAGCCATCGCTGCTGCGGCATCCTCCACATCCGTTCTGGCTGCGTCCTCCACCCCCTCTTCCACCGACATGACCGCGTCCTCCATCAACATGTCTGGCATCCGCACCGACTCGGTCGATAGCATCGCCCGCAACCTCGCAGGCGAACAACCACCAGCAAACACCGCCACCCCCGACCTCTCCGCCATCCTCCACACTCTCAACACCCTCCAAACCTCCATCACCGCCTCTCTCAACGACATAAAGGCCACTGTGTCATCCATATCCGACCGCGTCATCACGCTCGAAAGGAACAACCCCTCCATCACGGTCGTCACCACGGCCGCACCTCCCTCCTCCACAGCGCAAACCACTCCCTCCTCCACAGCCGCCTCCAGCAACACCCCCCCGCCGACCTCCTCCACTCCTACCACCTCTACCACCACATTCACCAACCCTTCAACCTCCACCATCGTTTCGTTCCCCCCACCTCCTCCCTCATCCGGCGCATCCAGCACACCGCCTCATTCCTCGCCCATCCACGTCACCACTCTTCCACCCCCGCACTCCCATACCCTTCCCCAACCCATCATGACGACCTCCACCATCCCCACCATCCGTCCCACCTATTCCCAAGTCACCTCCGGGGTCTACCCCGCAATGCCACAACTCCCCCCCAACTACCTCCTTGAGGACAACAACCAACTTGACTACACCTACTACGACACCACCCCCGATAACCTCAGCTTCAACACCCTCGCCCAGATCGTTTCCCGCGACGGGGAAATCCCCCGTTCCTTCCGATCCGGCGAAATCATGTCTTTCTCCGTCCTCCCCCACGAGGACGTTTTCCTCTTCCTAACCTAACTCCAGAACTCTTTTCACCTCCACCACATGCCCCTTGCCCATTGGCTCCCCATTGCCACCTCCCGCCTCCTCGGCAATGCCGCCAAATGGTGGATGGCTGAAGTCAGCAACTGCCGAGCCTCCGGAGGACCACGTCACTCCTTCCTCAAATGGGCCAAACTTCTCACTGCCACCTTCCGCCCCCAGAAAACAATTGATGACTACCTCGAACAATTTTGTCACCTCCGCCAGACCGGTCCCACGGACCGCTTCGTCCAATACATCCGCTCCCTCCGCATCACCTCCCCACCACCGTCATTCCCGACTTTGCGTTCATCTCCTGCATCAAGCGAGTATGCCACAAAGATCTTGCAACTGCCCTCGCCCACGAACCCGACATGCCCCTTGCTGACCTCCTCTCTCGCATGCTTCACCACGATCGACTCCTCCACCCCCATCACCAGTCCGCGCCCGCTCCCTCCCGCCCCCTCTTTTTCCATAACGACACCACTCAACCCACCTCCGATGACGACTTCGACACTGCCTCTCTCGACCCCTCCCAATTCACCATTGAGGACCTCCAGACCGCCCACCTTATACAGATGGAACGCGAGGATCGTGCGTCTCGACCGCCTTCTTCCTCTCCACCCCGCCGCCTCCAGAAACTCACACCCGCAAAACGCATATACCTCCAGGAACACAATGGATGTTTTCGTTGCCGCCAGTTAGGTCATCAACAGACCAATTGCCCCAACGCTAGCCACTTTACTCGACAGGCCCCTCGCTCCACGGGACCCGGCCCTTCTACTCCCACTTCTTCCTCCACCGCGACAGTCGGCCCCCCCCTCCACCTGAACACTGTCCCCCTATCTCTCGCAATCCAACCCTAAACCCTTGTATAAACCCTGCTACAACCTCGCAACCCCGCTCTACACACACCCTTCAACCCAGTCCACCCTCCCCTTGACCCTCATTCCTGATGTCTGATCTGCCCTTGCCCTCGCCTAGCCTTGTCTCATCTGTCCTCTCCACTACCTTGTCTCTCTTGTCCAATGCTTGTGAACCTGCGTGACGCCGGCGATAAAGGATCTAATGGCTCGCGCACGAGGATGATGGCCTGCTGCCTCACTGTTCATGGAGATTACGCAGCTGGTTTGGCCACCATGCTGTTTCATCGACCGACATCCCGACTCACAGACTTACTGGAATAGCAACTTGTGACATGGATCTTTGCATCAGTCTGCGACTTCCTTGCTTCCAGATCAGACCTCATTGCAGTTCGTGTACCGGACGCACCCTAGCACTTGGACTTTGACACTTGAACTACTACGTTTCTTGGACTTCTACCTGTCGCAGCCGCTGAAGACCGCTTCTACCACCTTCTCCAAAGACCTGATCACGACCGCTGCAGACCCCCTTTCAAGACACGTGGACACTTTGTTCCTACATGAGATTCTACTTCCGACTCCTTCGGACACACCAGCCCTTGCATCCTGAACAAACATTTTCATTTTTTCCAGACTTCGACAACCCTGTAGAACATCATTAGCAGATCCCTGTTTCCCTAACCATTGTTCCCCGTACACACTATAACATCAATGGACATCTCCTGTTCCCCTGACCATTGTTTCCCTTACCCACTACAACATCAATAGAAATACCCTGTTTTCCTGAACACCGTTTCCCTTACCCAGTAGAACATCAATAGAAGTTCCCTGTTCCCTGAACTTTGTTCCCCCTTAACCTATAGCAAACCATGCAGTCCCCTTAGTTCATCAGTAGGACTACCCTGCTCCCTGCCGTCCCTTTAGTTCATTTGTAGGACTACCCTGTTCCTTGCAACCCCCCCTAGTTCATCAGTAGGACAACTCTGTTCACCGGTACCAAACCTTGTTCCCTCTTACTCCCGCAGCCCATGCCACCCACATTATACCCCTCTTCCCTTTCGACTTGCTAACCAGTGATCGGCCCCGTCCCGTCCTTCACAGATTTCAGCATTGCTTCATGATTTTTGGCAGCCGGGACGTTGCCTTCTAGAGGGAGGGGATAGTGTTACGGACTCCGCCAGGGCTCGATCCCTGGTCTATCTTTTTGCTGTTTCGGCTGCATCCCGTTTTTCGCCCTGGCACCCTTTTTCCAAACCCCTCCTTTGGTACCGTACGATTTTGGACAACTGGCGCCATGCTGCAATTCGGGCGCCACTTTCAAATACCGCATTTTTCAGTTCTGCCCTGGGGGCCTTTGCAGAAATGCCCCTGGTACTGTACGTGTCACCGGTACTTATACCAGCTCCCCGTACGGTACGGGAACCAGTCTCGTACCAGTTTCCTGTTGTACTCGTACTCAGTGTGACTTGCTTCGACATTGTGTTCGGAAATCCAAGACTTCGACTTTGTGACTTTGCCACTTCGTGTCTGCATCCGTCGAGTCAGGTCGAGTCAGGTCGAGTCAGGTCGAGTCAGGTCGAGTCTGCGTCGAGTTGAGTGAGTGTGTGTGTGCTCTCACTCTCTCCCGCTCTCTCCCAGCCTCGTTGCCTCAGCCCCGTCACACACGTGGTGTAGCCGAGTGCATCCTGCACGGTGCACCGCACAGCACTGCACCACATCGCGCACCGTGCTTGTGCGCCGCAAGTATGATAGATAGGTTCCAGCCTTAGACCCTACGCCTTAGACGCTAGTCTTAGACCCTAGATTCCCTTGGTGTGTGGATGGGCCTTTGTTTGTCCAGGTAGGTAGTGCGAGGTACAATACTGAGAGAAGATGATAGCATAGTAAAATGCAGTTGTGCCCCACATGAGGAGAAAACAAGCCTGCATTGTTTCCTTTATAAAATGATAAAAAAACGAGAGGGAAGAAAAAGGTGCACCTCATTCCAATCTAAATGGTAATAAATTTTGCATTTAATACCTGGATTAGGTTGAATGGTCGTAATTGAGGCAAATGATCGTAAATCTGATGACCATTCTCATCCAGATCACCGCAATCAGCCTTCAACAGAGTGGAAATGAAGGAAGGTAATCCACAAAGATATACACACAACCATCCACCAAAATTTGAGAGATCCCTGTTACGCATCATCATGCAGATAACCTCACCTGGCGGTGGACGTGTGCTTGTGTACTGTCTTGTTGCATACCGTATAGGTGCAGACCAGAACAAGAACCGACCTTTCAATACAAGGTATAAGATAGCACAGCGGAAGACTTAGATACCAATGATCCGAACAAATTGTAATGCAGCCCCGAACATACATTATCATCATCATGGTGCGAAGGGGTCTGGCGCTTCACACAAGAAGACTGCGCCAGCCCCAACCATACACAGACGAAGGAGGTGGGGTTAGACGAAGAAGAAGGGAAGGTGGGAATGTCGTCAACACCAAGT